CCCCCCCCCGCCGCCAGCCTGGTTGCCCAACACAGCCTTTCAGTCATCTGTTCGGTTGCAATGGTCGCTTAGGTTTTATATATATAGATGTGCATCCGACTTTTGATTACACACACACACACTGACATAACTTTCAATAAAAATAAAAGGGATGAGATCCAGTTAGAGATCTTCCTTGAGAGAAAACACAACAAATGCATGTTCTGGATAAAGCCTCAGCAAGATTAGGTGGAAACTCAAGCATCTTGGCTTCTCCTGAGTTCTGGAGAAGCCTATCCAGGCAAACCAAGCCACTGAGGCTGGTTGGGGGCTCACAGCTCTTATCAAGCGTGAGATCAGATCTGGCCAAAGGTACAAAGAAAGTAGTTTCCTAACCCACCAGCCTTACTCCAGGCAACAAGACACAAAAAGTATTCCTATTCTACTGATGCTTGGTTTGTGGGCCTTTCCAGATAAAACTGGCAGCCACTTTTAGATAAGGAATCGCTATTTAGAAGCTTTGGGAGAAGTGTGGGGGTTCTTTGTGGACTCACTAAGACTTAGTTTTAGGAAGACTTGTGAAAATAATTCTGATCTTCAAATCCCACAATGGAAACCAATAGAATTGCCAAAAAAAATAACATAACTATAAACTAAAATATAAATATTGAGAATCGAGAAGAGGGAGAAAGAAGGCAATGTAAATTACTAAATCCTCATCTTTTATATTAGAATCAATGAAATTATCTTAAGGTGATAAATTTTGGAAACCAATGTATAAGCACATTATATAGAGTTACCTCCATAATTTTTAGTAATAATACAGGGAAGTAGAATAAGAACTAACCAAGAATGATTAAAAGAGGTTGTTCCTGAAGATGGATGGAGTATCTCTTGTTTTTAATCACACTATCGATTTCTTACCACCTGCAAGTATTGATACAAACTTTCATGAAAAGCAAATATTTTCAAGTAAATAGACAATAATATCAATTACAAAATCTACCATTTACCTACCATAATACATTTATCTCTTTCTTAACAAGTAATAATTCTCACTTCTACATGCAGAATACAAACTAAAACAGGTGAATTGAAAGTTGGAAACTAAACCACAACAGGTAAGAGTAGCAGAGAAACAAATGATTCCTTCCCCCTTTAAAAGCCATATTTGTATATACTACCTATGACATCCTATATAATAAAAGCCTAATATGCAAATTGTTTGACCAGGAGTTCAACTGCTCGCTATGATTGCGCTGACCACCAGGGTGCAGCAAGGAACATGGTGGGCATTGGTGACACAGCGCTGGCAGCGGGTGGCAGTGGAGGTGCTGCCAGCCCTGATGGGCCCTGATGAGAACAGAACCACGGCGGGATGGTGGGGCAGCTTAGCAGGCGGCACCAGGCCAAAGTGGGTTTGAGTGGGGACCAGGCCAAGGCAGGTGTGAGTGGGGGCCTGATCGCCCCACCAATCGCCCTGCAGATGGTGACCAGCAGGTGGCAGGGCCGCCACCCGGCTTCCAGGCACTGAGGGAGCCGGGGGTGGGGGAGGGTGGAGAGGGGGGAAGGCCTGGCCCCGATCAATCGTCCCACAGGCGGGATGGTGGAGCAGGTGAGGGGGCAGCACCAGGCGATGGCAGGGTGCCAGGCAGGGCTGCAGGGCTGCAAGGCTGGGGGCACAAGCTGGGGTCCAATCCCTGCAGGTTACCCCAAGGGACCCCACCTGTGCATGAATTTGTGCACCGGGCCTCTAGTTAGAGAATAAACACTCAACATCACTATGAAAAAGTGACCTGCACAATAAGCCTCTGAATTTTCTTTTATGTATTACTAGAGGCCCGGTGCACAAAAATTTGTGCACCAGCGGGGGTTGGTGTCCCTTAGCCCCACTTGTGCCCTCTCACAGTCTGGGGCCCCTCGGGAGATAACAACCTGCTGGCTTAGGCCCGCTTCCGGGTGGCAGAGGGCAGGCCCAATCAATAGGTACAGCCCCTGGTCGAGCTCAGAGCAGGGCCGATTGGGGAGTTGGGGCGCCACCCCCTGTCATGCACAGAGCAGGGTGGATCGGGAGGTTGCGATGCCACCCCCAGTCATGCTCAGGGTATGGCTGATTGGGGGGTTGGGGCACCGCCCCCTGTCACACTCAAGGCAGGGTCGATGGGGAGGTTGTGGCGCCACCCCCTGTCATGCACAGAGCAGGGCCGATCAGGGGGTTGGGGCGCTGTCCCCTGTCACGCACAGAGCAGGGCCCATCAGGGAGGTTGGGGCTCCGTAC